ATCATACTTAATACTCAAAAAACGGGAGAATTGCAGTGGAAGTTTTTCTGTGGGAAGGATGACTGGGTGAAGGGATAATGGTGTGGCATCTGCTCTGTCAGGTCAGATAAAATAAAAAGGTGGGATGAAGCAGGAAGGGAAGGCAGAAGGAAGGGGCAGGGCAGCGTCTTAAGCACGGTGGCTATTTTAATGTTACAAGCCTTTGTTTTTCTGACGCTCCGCCACCTCATTAACCTATGTGTCATTCTGAAGTATTTTGCCATGCTCTGATGATTACAGCCTCACTTGCTAACAACACAATGTTTTAAATGCATGCTCTTCCCTGGAGTCATGGTGAATTAATTTTCAATTAGTTTTCATTAATGAACTTCATTTTTGTGGGCTTAATTGCTGGCCCAACTTCAGGAAATGGAGCAAGTCCTTTGGTCAGGTGTGGGATAGAGGACTGTTAGAAGACTGGAGAATATCCTGGACTTTCTAAAAAGACTACTTCACTTATTGTCTAGAAGCTCATAGTCAGAGTCATGTCAGTGGTAAACCAAGCACCTGCCGATGGAGCCCCTGAATCTTCTCTATGTTCTTCAGAGGCACTTTTTATTGTTAGTTGTGTCTCTTGGTTATCTTTTTTCTTAATTATTTATTTGTTTTTATTTTATATACATTGGTGCTTTGCCTGCATGTATGTCTGTAGGAAGGTGTCGGATCCCCTGGAACAGGAGTTATAGACAGTTGTGAGCTGCCATATGGGTGCTGGGAATTGAACCAGGGTCCTCTGGAAGAGTAGTGCATGCTCTTAACTGCTGAGCCATCTCTCCAGCCCACACATAATTATCTTAAGAGAGAATTATATTTCAGCAGAGAAAGGGAACTACTGAAGGTCCCAGAGAAGTTGACAATGAAAAATGAATTATTTTATTTCTTTTTCTGGGAAAAAAGCAAAAAGAAACTTGCCTGTGATGTCTTACTGTAAGGCTTATATCTACATTTCCAGCAAGCAAATGAGATTCCAGAAACGAGGTCATTTCAGTGTCTTTCCTCAGTGAGAGGGACGGATACCACTGTCCTCAGAAACTCCTTGTTTCTACAGAGAACCTATCCCCTCCTCCCCCGTAAGAATCACTGGTAGTTTGGGGTAGACAATCTCCATGCCTTCAGAAGTATTGAGTAATAATTACACCTTGTTTAAAACAGCTTCCTCCACTTGTTAACACATGTTATCTGTCTGTCACATGTCATTCTGTCTTGAATAGCTTTTATGTGAAAATAATACTACATTCCTTCTTACTTAGATAGTTGTAAATCACTATTAATTAATATCAGACAAAACTTTACTTCACTGCTTTGCAAGCACTGTACATATAAATACTACCAAGAGTAAGAAGTGTGGTTTGAAGCAGTATCTCCATGTTTCTACAGCTCAGGAGTGTCACTTGCTCTTCCTACTCCTTAAGTTTTTTCTCATGCAGAAAGGTTTAGTCTAGATTTTTCTAGATTCAAATATTACTAGTCTAAAATCATTTTCAAATAATCACAAATAAATATACACATAAAGACAAAGTACACAGTAAAACCATTGTTCTTGAGCTGCCAGTGAACAACTCATAGCCTACAAAACACACCCACAAATCAGTACTGTAACAGCTTCCCAGAAAGCCAGAGCAATGCTCTGGGCCACAAGACATGGCAATAAGGTCTCTGTGTTCTTTCTATTTCCACTTAAAAATTCTTTACCTAAGAACTACCATACAGCCTGAGAACTTCAACTTCAAAAAACAGAAAACCTTCATTTTTTATTTTTTTATTTTATTTATTTTTAGCTGATACATAAAAATCATACAAACTATAAACATCTATGGAGTATCGTATGATGATTCAATATTTGTCTATGGTTTATAATTGATAAATCCAAGGGAATATATCTATATCTTCAAACAACCATTTCTTTTTTTAATAACTTTATTTTTATTTCATGTGCATTAATGTTTTGCCTAAATGTATGTCTGTGTGAGGATGTTAGATCCCCTGAAACTGGAGTTACATACAGTTATGAGCTGCCATGTTGATGCTGGGAACTGAACCGGGGTCCTCTGGAAGAGCAGTCAATACTCTTAACCTCTAAGTCATCTCAACGGCTCCCAAGCAATCATTCCTTATGGTAAAAACACTCAAAATCCTTTCCTCTAATTTTTTAGAAATTGTATTTATCATGAGTTTACTGTCTAGACAGGGATATACTAGAAAGAGGTCTAGTTTAGAGCCAGCCAGATCTGACTTAATCCATTGCTGAGTTTATGGACAGCTCCTTGGGAAGGTTTCACTTCTTTCAGTCTATTTCCTTGTTGGTATAATGTAGAATAATAATGCTTATGTTATAAAGATTTTGTGTGGATTGAGTGAAGATAACTCATGTAAAATGTTTTGCACCCACAAAGCACTCAATAAAAATGTGGGAGGGTGAAGATTCATAGTCAACTGCCCATTCTGAAACAAGTGAGACTCTCAGAAGATGTCATCTTGCAAGTTCCTGTCATTAGTGTCTGTAATATTTTTATTAAAAGTCACTAGTAAATTAAGACATAGAATTAAATGAGAAATGCAGAGTTTGCCATAGCTAGGACAGCCTGGCAACCAATTCAAACATTTGATAAGCTGTCACCAGTTTCCAAATCTCAACTTCTAATACAAAAAATCAGACTCTTAAATCTTTTGTTCTCCCGGGCTATAGCTCAGTGGTAGCTGTCAGATTCAAGGCCTGGGGTTCAATTCCAAATTTAAAAAAGAAAAAAGAAAAACTAAGACAAAACCTTTTGTTCTCAGAATTCCAATGAGTTACCGGATTATTCGTTCTACATTTTGTCTCAGGGTATTTTAAGTTAAAGTGTAGACAGAAGTTTCTGTACCACCCCATCCCATAGACGTTTAGTCCCAAATAAACACACAGAGGCTTATATTAATTATAAACTGTTTGGCTGATGGCTCAGGCTTCTTATTGGCTGGCTCTATCTCAATTATTAACACTCTTATTTTAAAAGAGTATTTATTTTGTATACAATGTTCTGTGTGTACATATGCCTGCAGGCCAGAAAACGGCATCAGATCTTACTAGGACTGGTTGTGAGCCACCAAGTGGTTGCTGGGAACTGAACTCAGGACCTCTGGATGAGTAGTCAGTGCTCTTAACCCCTGAGCCATCTTTCCAGACCCTAACACTTTTCTTTTAATCTGTGTATCTCCACATGCTGTTGGCTTACCGGTGATGCCCAGATCTATTGCTTCCTTGGCAACTACATGGCATCTCTCTGGCAACTCACTCCCTGCATTCCACTTTCCCACCTTCTCCTAGTCTGGCAGACCCTCCTATACTTCCTGCCTGTCCATAGGCCGAACCAGTTTTATTCATCAACCAATAAAACAAATATATATTCACAGCATACAGAAGGACATCCCCCATCATCAAAATTAACAAAATATAAATGTCCTGTGTCTTTCTCTGGCTGAAATATGCATGAATATATGTAAGTATATTAGGACAGCTGAAAAGATAAATGCCCCTGATTTCTACATATTATGTTGAGGAACTGTCAATTCCTTCAAAAGAACCACAGAGAAACTGGCCTCTTACTATGTTTTATTTTAAATGCAGTATAATATTTTTTCTTATTTTACTTCCTTTTTTTTACTTACTTTTTACTTACTTACTTACTTTTACTTTATTTTACTTCCTTTTTCAGACACTAAGGGGCTTGTTTAGGATTCTCTAATCTTGGTCATAACATTCTTTTAAGATGGATGCTTCTTACATTAACCTTTTTAAGGCACAAATAATAGCTGAAGGTCAAACAGTACTGTCAGAATAAAGCAATGACACTTAACTAAACTGTAATTCAAGACCTGCAAGACACTTTTCTAATAAACCATCTTGACTGAAGTAAAATTAACACAATGCTACTCTCTCCATTCTAATCTAATAAAATGCTAATTATTTGCCCTTACTTTTTGAAACTGTAATATATTTTTAAAAACTGAGTTCAAAAGGATATTTCCCCTCATGTAATTTCAACTTAATTTATCTGACACCAAGCCAGATAGGGAAAAAAAACAAACATGTATATCAGATATTATATGCACATTAGACAGAGAAGTTTTACTTGAGTTGAGTTGGGCAAGTCAACCCAGCATGGGGAATGGGTTCCTAAAACCCAGCTCAAGTGAGAGAGTCAGGAACAGGTCCTGATCCCACTGCTAGGAGCCCCACAAACAGACCAAGCTACACAACTGTCACACACATGCAGCGAGCCTAGGTCAATCCCATGCAGGCTTCCTAACTCTCCGTCCAGAATCTGTGAGCTCCCATGAGCTCAGGTAAGCTGTCTCTGTGGGTTCTCCTGTCACAGCCTTGACCCCACCTGGCTCATACAATTCTTCCTCCCTCTCTTCAACAGGACTCCTGGAGCTCCACCCAGTGCTTGGCTGTGAATCTCTGCATCTGCTTCCATCAGTTACTGGACGAAGGCAATTAGGGGAATCACCAATCTGATTACAGGAGAAAGCTAGTTCAGGCACCCTCTCTACTATTGCTAGGAGTCTTAGCTGAGGTCATCCTTGTATATTGCTGGGAGTTTCCCTGGCACCAGGTTTCTCCCTAACTGTGAGGTAACCCAGATCCAGAAAGACAAACTTGGTATGTACTCATTCAAGTGGATATTGCTAATAACCAGGCTACAATTCACAGCCTCAGAGAAGCTAGGGAACAAGGAGGGCCGAAAGAAAGACACATGGATTTCCTGGTTAGGGGGAAGCAGAAGAGAGCTCCTGGGTAAAATAGGGTGGATGGAGGTAAGAGAACGTGAGAGATCAAGTTGGGCAGGTTGGGGGTGAAATGGACAGGAAGAATAATGAAACAGATATTGACATTTTTAATTTGCTGGGGCTTTTGGGGGGGTGTTACAAGAAATAGCAAGAGAGCAATCAAGCCAGACCACTAAGGGAAGATCTAGGACTCGCTTCAGTAGCACGTATGCTGAGACTGGAATGATACAGAGAAGATTAAGATGGCCCCTGCTCAAAGATGACGTGCAAATTCGTGAACCATTCCATAGTTAGCAAGTAAAAAAGACAGATCTGAATAAGTTCACCAGGATTACTGTAAATATATGAAATCCAAAGTAGAACTGAGGCAAATGCCGTAACTTTCTATCTGACAAGAACCAAATAACCATACTTCTTTTTATCTTCGAGATCCTAATGTGATTACACTTTCTCCCTTCCCTTTCCCTCCTCCAAGCCCTTCCATATACCCTTCCCTGCTCCCCTCCAAATTCACAGCATCTTTTTGACTAATTATTATTTCATGCATATATGTATGTACATACATATCCCTAACTATAACCTGCTCTGTCTATGTAATGTTACTTGTATGTGTGTTTTCAGGGCTGACCATTTGGCACTAGGCAGCCAGCTAGTGAGCCCTTCCCTGGAGAAGACCCATCCCTCCTGCTCTCAGCTTTCCTCAGTTGCCTTCAGTTCTTTGTATAGGGTTGAGACTTCATGGGGTTTCCCCCAATGCATTTTGACAATAACCATAATTCTTTATAACCATACACAATGGTAATTTATGTTCCTAAAGAGGGCCCCTCAGATTATGGGCCTCTGGAGGCTCAGGCCTATAATCCCAGCACTTGGGAGGCTGAGGCAAGAGGAGGATTGCAGAAAATTGGAGGTCAACCTTGGGTTGCAGAATACAGAGTGAGACCCTGTCTCCAAAGGAAGGAAGGAATAATAACAATTTTTATTGTTATTGTTATTATTCCTTAACAAAAGGGAAAGAAATGAGGAAGAAGGGAGGGAGAGGGAAAACTTCTGAATCATAGAGCAGGACAGTTATATTTGATTATTCTTAATATTAAAGTCATCTTGACATGTTCTATTATTTTGACATGTTTGAAACTAAAAGTTCCGTATATGTAGGCATTTTTGCCACTCCAAGTATTAAATTAATAATACATCGTCCTCAAATTCTTAAATACTTTTCATTGTGTTGAACATGGAAACAAGAGTACATGTGAAGGGAGCTGGTCTTTGTCTACCAGGATTGATAAGGACAAATGTTTGTTTTGTTTGTCCACATTCTCAAGTGTACCAATACTAACACTGACTTAAAGGATAAGCAATTTTGTCATTTTTTTCAGGTTTTCTTAATAAAAACTTTGTATAGAATTTAACATTTAGACATCTTTTCAAAAGATCATGATTCCATAAACTTAATACCTTAAATAATTTCAGATTATTAAAGTGCAGTTACTTAGATGTTTTACACAAGGAAAACTTCGCTGTAGTAAATGTAGGCTGTTTTGCTGAGATATCAAATATACACTGCATTCCTAGATTGCCGTGTGGCAAGCAAATGATACACTTTTTTGTTCTCAATGCAACTTTACTAATTTCTTCAAAGCTAATTCCCTCTATTTTTACATCCATTTCAATAAATGTCTCACTGGACATGGCTTGAATATATATATATATATATATATATATATATATATATATATAGGTTTTTCAAGACAGAGTTTCCCTGTAGGTTTTGGAGACTGTCCTGGAACTCTGAAGACCAGGCTGGCCTCAAGCTCACAGAGATCCACCTGCCTCTGCCTCTGGAGTGCTGGGACTAAAGGCACGCGTCACCACTGCCCATCTTGAAAAACCATATTAAGACTTTTTAACTGTGATTCTAATTTGCCCAAAACAGTAGAGGCTCCCACTGATAATTTTAAAAGCATATATGTGTGCTTTGTTTGGATTTTTTTTAAGTATTTCAGATCCATTGGTGTAGCTCAATGACAGAAAATCTGCCTAGTATATGCAAGGCCCTGATGTGATTCCTTGAATTGAATAACTTAAAATAAAAACAAAAATTTTCCTGCATATGAAATTTTTCCATCATTAACTATTTTTATATTTGTATTCACCAGCATAAAAATGTTTTTGTTTTGACAGACAGAAACGAAAGGAATCAAGGAAATGCACAATTAAGCCAGAAAGGTACTGTGACATCCAGTGTTCAGCCAACAGAAGCTGTGACAAGAGAGCCATTAACACACATTCGTTTGTGTTATGATGACATATGGAAGGCTTCCAAAATTAACACAGTATTTTGCTGCCTACTGGCTTGTATCACAGACTTAATACATTTTGGATTTTGTTTTGTTTTTTTCTTTGGAAGACAGGGGGAGAGGATGTTTCTAATGGCTTATGTGTTTTGATAGTACTTTGGGGGTCTTTATGAAGCATTAAATATATTAAATGGATAATTTTGGATAAGAAAATCATGAGAAATCAGCACCACCACCCATCTCCTTTGCTGTTGACTACTCTATAGTTACCCCTTGTTCACTGATGAAGCTTCTCTTTTCTCATTTCTTGGGCAGTCTGGACTTTTTTTTATTTAGAGAATACTTTACTAGTTTTTGTAATCAAACCCATGTAGATAAGACCTTACATATTTAATACAGTGCATTACTCCTGTACAAATGGAAAAAAATTAAGTTCAACATTTCTAGACCAATATGGCTGTTAATTTCTGTACTATGCCAACTCAACACGGTAAAATGGGATACTTTTTTCCAAAGTTGACAGCACACTAAAGTTTCCAAAAATTCAAATTAATAGCCAATAATAGCAATATGTTATGCATCCAATAGCAGCAACAGCTTTAGTCACCTGATGCAAGCGACCAGTCTGCACTTTTGAAGAAGACACTTAAAGTCTAGTCTGTAGAGATGGATAAATGGCTCAGCAGTTAAGAGAATTTGCTGCTCTCGAGGAGGACCCAATTCCCAGCACCCACATATCAGCTCACAACCATGTATAACTCCAATTCCTTGGGCTCTGATGCCTCTTCTGACCTCCTTGTGGTACACATATGTACTCTCAGAGGGTCATGGACTCACCTACTGAACTGTCAGGAAGCCCACAATTACATAACTTCTTCTGCAAACTGCTTTGGTCATAGCATCTCTTCACCGCAATAGAAAAGTAACTAAGATAGGTCACAGAATTTCTGTATGGATAACGAACAAGTTTTTTTTTAATTTTTTATTTAATTTTTACAAATTATAATTTCACATGCCAATCCCTTCTCCCTCTCCCCTCTCCCCCTAATCCCCCACCATACCCACCCCCTCCACTCCCCTTGGAGGGTAGAGCCCTCCACGGGGGCTCCCCAAATTCCACAACATCATCCTGGGCCAGGCCTAGGCCCTCCCCCATGTGTCCCAGATGAGAGCACCCCTTCACGTGGGATGGGCTCTCAAAGTCCCTTTTTTTTTCATTCATTTATTTAGCTCATAAATAAAGTCATGCACAATTATGATACACATACAGTATGTTCACAATGGCATGGCTAAATTAAACCAATTAACATGTTATATCACACATATTCATCATTTTTGTTTTGAGAACACTTAAAGTATACTATCTCACATCTTTTAAAATATAGCATATCGTTATCAATCATATTTATCATGCTCTCAGTAGACCTCAAGACATCACAGAGTCCATGCCTCTTGTCCAACTGCAGTTTTATGTCCTTAAACCAATCGTTTCCCCATTGTTAAAAACCCTAATAGCCACAATTCTGCTCTCTGTTCCCATAAGTTTATCATTTCTAGGTTACACATAAAATTGAAATTGTGTGACATTTGTCTTCTAGTGTGTCACTTATTTATTTATTTATTTATTTGGCAAGCATATAACTTTACTACTTACTGAAGATGAAATCAAATTTGCATGCAGAGGTGAGCACTCTCTGAAACACCTTGGATTCATCACATATTTGAGTTTCAATTAGCATATATATATCTATATATATATAAAGA